CCTTGCATTCCTTCCAGCTCACCACTCAGTTCCGGCTTTTAGTCTGAAGGACTCTGCCCTCAGCCAGGTGGCCCAGTCTACTTCCAAGCCTCGTAGACAGAGGCATGGCGACACTCCTGCAGAAGGAACGGGCAGATTTAACTTTATGCAGTGATAAAACAGCTGTCTGACATTGTCCTTCTCTCCAAATATGTTGTGGTACCCAAAACACAACCCAGGCAGCTTGTATAAATCTAATTAGTCTTTAGACTCAGCTTCCTGAAAATGTCCCTCTCTTGTCAAGACTAAGGTTTTGCCACCGACATGTCATTGTTTGCAAAGCAGTACTTGCTATACAGTGGGTAGCGTTAGTCATTTGCTAAGGAACTGGTAACATGACCTATGAAAATAGCAATAAAAATTGGATTGATTATGGCTATAATGTTGTCTGTGCATACCTTTATACACAGGAAAATATAGAGAGCCCTAATTCAGAATTCCTACGAAGCCATCAAAAAGTGAGTTTACCTTTGCTATAGCACATGCCTTGTAAAATCAGTAAAGCATAGAATTGTTAATTATATAGAAAGATCAGAAAATGTGTACAGATCCTTTTGAATGCCATTTTCAACATTTTTAACCACTGCAGGAGCATTTACAAACAATAAGAGATGCCATTTCTTTATTTTCCATTGAAAAGCTAATCATTTGTTCATGAAGGCAACTTGCCCTTAGCCCCTCACCTCATCCAGTGAGCGTATATTGCCTAAAAACCCATTTAGGCTCGTTTTTTCCTGTTAGTAAAATCAGGATGGGTTTGCTGTGTAACCAGTTAGTGCCATCTGTAAAAAAGTGACATTTCTTCTTTTGATGACATGACAGAGAAATGCTTAGTTGTCCCAGCTTGATGTTCTGAGGATTGGTCAGGACAGAAAGCAGAGCCGCCCATTGTGGAACCCTGGAAATGAACTCATGGAGAATCTAGGGAGTTCTGTGTTCTAGCGGGGCTAGAAGATGTTAGCTGCCAAGATGTCGCCAGGAAGGAGCTGACACCTGAGGGCAACCCCTGAGTACACACTGGTTTCTGTAAAATCCGGTATGGATAAATGAAATTCCTCTTTCAAGTGAGCCTAAGTGAGAGTGAGAGACATTTACATCCATGTATATGAAACATCCATACACTCAGAGAGAGAGAGGAGAGAGAGCGAGACAGAGAGACGGAGAGACTGAGTGCACTCTTATTGCTGACAGTTGACAGAGTGTGGCCCTGGCCACCTGGGACTGAGATCCCCACCCTACCCAAAGGCCAGGTTCACTCTGAGTAATAGAAACTTGCTCATTGAAGATCTTAGCCAAAATTATCCCTGTGTAATTAGCAAACATCTTTTTTTTTAATTTTTTATTAATTACACTTTATTCATTTTGTATCCCCCCGTAAGCCCCTCCCTCCTCCCCTCCCGATCCCACCCTCCCTCCCCTTTCTGCATGCATGCCACTCCCCAAGTCCACTGATAGGGGAGGTTCTCCTCTCCTTTCTGATCTTAGTCTATCAGTTCTCATCAAAAGTGGCTGCATTGTCCTCTACTGTTTGGATTTGAAGCTGTTTCTCATCCTAAAGCATAAAAATAATACTAAGAAAGTAAAGAAGAGGATTAGAAGAGAGATCCCACAGCCTGGAAGTGAAAGTTAGAGGCATGACTGGATTCAAATGGTCACGCTGGAATGTGCTAGCTCTGAAAAGGCATTTCTCCTTTGGTCCCTTGACTTCTTCATCTGAAATATATAAATAATAATATCCCCTAGGCACAGGTCCCTGTGAACACTGGATTTCTGGAAACAAATTCTGCTGAACTGTGTTTAGACACTGGGTGTTCAATAAATGTAACTCATCATTTCAAATATAATATTTTAAGTATAGTAAGTTCACAAATGGGCCATTGCACAGTAGAAATTTTGCAAAGGAATAATTACTGACTCAAAAATTTTATCTAAAAGAATCTCAGAAGTGTGTCTACATCTTGCACAGGAAAATAAACTGAGGCTTCATGTTTGTGGTGCATTGTGAAATTCATTAATGTTTAAAAATGAAACAAGTTCATTCAATAAATATTTGCCAAGAACTTGTAAGTTAGCAGCATGGTGCACAGTATGATATTGTAAGAATTCATACATTCCCTGGGCTTTCAGAGAAGATGCTGGAGACATACGTGCATTCATGTATCAAATATGCAGACATACATTCATGTGACATAGACACATCGTACGTGCATTCATGTGACATGCATACATCATGTTTGCATACATACATCATACATGCATCATATATCATTTGTACATACATCACACATGCATTATACATAAATGAATGTGGCTGAAAAGCCCACACACTGACCACCAAGAGCATAACTGTTTCAGAAAAGGTAGATTCCCACCAAGTTCCAACTGTCCATATTCACAAAGTCACAACATGAAGTTACATGAACTAATAAACACAATGATGAAAACCTGCTTGATAGCTATGCTACAGGTGATAGCCTACTGAAGATAGTCCCTGTTCTTTATGCTTTTCATAGCATTGGCTTTAAATCAAGCAGGAGAAATCAACACGGCAATGTAGACCTGGATATAAAACAAATACAAATTTTACACTTAATTTGCAAGAAGACATCACTTTTAATACAACATGAAAATATCAGACATGTCTGTTTATACTCAATCAGAATATGTCTAGCATCAATCAGAGCTCATCCTAGAAGGCATGAGAAAACTTTAGTGAGCTTGTTCTTGGTCTTGTTTTTTGCTTTGGGGGACAGTACCTTCCTGTAGTCCATCTTAGCCTTGAAATCACTCTGATGCCCAGGCTGGCCTTGAAGTAACACTCTTTCCCTTGCCTCAGCCTCTGAAATTCTGAGATTGTAGATGTGTGTCATCACACAGTGTCTAGAATATTTGTCATTACACGTTTGTGTAGAAGCCAGAGATCTACCTGATGTCAGCCACAACTGTTCTCTACCCTATCTTTCAAATAAGATCTCTCACAGAGCCCCCATTTTTCAGGTAAACAGCCTGAGGTTCAGAAAACCTGATGTTTCTATGTCTCAGACTTTAGAGATCTGGTTGCCCAAAAGACCAGTGACTGCTCTGGAGGACCCGGCACTTGTGATTGTTTAGCTGTTTGGTTTTTCTCTGGATCTGGTTGGCGAGTCACTTTACTGATAGATTCTGCTATGTTTCCATTCACACAGTTCCCTGAAGTACCCTGATTACCTACACCACAGTATCAGTAGTATGTGGATGAGAGCCCAGTCCTCATTCAAACAGTGCTGAGAGTCAGAATTTGGATCTTCTGCCTCAGGTCTTCCACTGGCAGCCAGAGTCTATTAACAAACCACTGAAAATTTTAAATTAGCTTGTTAAACTTTTTTTTTAACTTTTTGTTGATTCTTTGTGAATTCACATCACGCATCCCAGTCCCACTCATCTCCCAGCCCTCCATATTCACCCTCCACCCTTGCAACCTTCTCCCCAAAAGAGAACAAAAAAACCTTTTAGACTAAAATTAAAAAATAAAAACATCTCACTATGGAAGCTGCAGTGTAGCACACAGTACACTCTTTTGTCCCGACATTTTTACTTGCAGATGTTCATTGCAATGAGGTGTGATTCAAGGCCTCTGGCTTCTACACTATCAATACTGGATCCCACAGGACTCCTCTCGGGTATCCTGCTGTTGCCCTGTGTCATGGAGACCCTGCAGCTTTGGGTCTGCAGGACTGGGCCCTTCACCTACTCCAGCAGTTCTTAGATGGGGTAGATGTTAGAGTGAGCCAAGTCAAAGCCCTGGATTTGGGCCCAAGTAGTAGCTGAATTGGTTAGCTTACCAGCTTTCCCATGCTTCTCAAGCAAGGGGCGAGGCCAGCCTTGACCAGTTCTCCCAGGCTCATTGAGGCCAGCTCTCCTGCACTGCCCAGATGAGGCTTAGCTCAGCCCTCGAACATCAATGTGGCTCCGGTAGCCTGGATGTGTGCATGGCCCTTGGTGGTGATCTGGGCCGAGACGAAGACCCCTGCTGTCTCCGTCTTCTATTAATCCTGGCAGATAACAGCTGTGATGTGCCTGTTCTTGGATGATGAGTTCACTTTTAGCTGACTTGTTTTTTTTCTGTGATGAGCATGATAAATATTAATAGCTATAGTTGTCCATATAAACGGTTACTTTTTACATCATGTTTATTGGTGTGCCATAGCCCTGTCCTGTGTTCAGTGAGTGTCCTGTAAGGCTGAGGTGCGTGTTAGGATTAAATAGAAGCTGTATCTGGTTTTGTGGAGAATTTTTGAATAAAATGAAAGCATTATAATTGCAAAATCGGTAATTACCACAGCCGTAAGCTCAGCGTGGTTCTTCTGAGCTTTCTCTTTCTCCCCATTCATTCTTGTATCTTCCCAATTACCTTTGCACTGGCCTCTGCCAGATCCCAGGATGGTAGCACTTGAAACAGGTGCCATTACTCCAACCACTGTTCCCTGTGATTGGACAAACTCTAAATTGCTACCCATAATAGTCACTACCCAAAATAATTGTTAAATTGGGAATTTTGTGCAAGCCACTTAGAATGTGCCTGATATTAAGCATTCTGTTCATTTTTGCTGTTTTTATTTTTGTCGTGGGCCCTGCTTGTATCCTGCAATAGAGTTTTGTGTCCTATTCTGTGGACCCTCCTCTCCATTGTGAGGAAAGGCTAAAGTTTGAGTTAGTCTGCAGGTCTCCGTGGGTAGAAAGGGAGACCTGTGCCATCAATCAAACGCAAGAAGCAGCTACTAGCCTGCTTTCCGTAGCAACCTGGGAGCTTTGCTGTTTCCCTTAGGAAACTATTTTGAAAGTACTCCTTTTGGTACAAGAATTCCTTCAGAGAGAGCATGCATTGATTACAACTCAATGACCTGTAGTTCCGGCCTCATAAAATGTGTTCAGGGTGATACCCAGATTTGGCCTTATTCCTTCCGTTTTTTTGCATTTGACAGCTCGAAAGTCAAAGAAGCTGGGGAAGTTAAAAGGCCTTCATGAGGAGCAACCACAGCAGCCCCCCCCACCACCACCCCAGAGCCCGGAAGAGGGGACCACGTATGTCGCTCCGACCAAGGAGCCCTCCGTGAACTCTGCACTGGTCCCCCAGCTCACCTCCATCACCCGCGCACTCACACCGTCCCCAGCCATGATCCTGGAGAACATCGAGCCCGAGATCGTGTACGCGGGCTACGACAGCTCCAAGCCTGACACTGCGGAGAACCTGCTCTCCACACTCAACCGCCTGGCAGGCAAACAGATGATCCAGGTCGTGAAGTGGGCCAAGGTACTTCCAGGTAGGACCACTCTGCTCAGCATATCAGTGGTAACACGTGTCCGCTCATTCTGACATCAGTATCAGAGACAGCAGAGTAGGGGAGAATTCTACATACTGGTTCATTTCTTTTCCAAGAACTCAGGTTTGTAGCTCTAGTGTTCTTAAGACAGGCGTTTGGCTGGTGTTCTCAAAGGAAAGGGATTACTTTGTCCCCAAGTGTTAAGGAGGTAAAGTACATTGTTAGTGATGTCGCACAGCACCTGGGTTTATCTAAACAATGCAGGCCCAAGGAACTTAGGCCTAGCAATCGCCAACTCTTCCTGGTTAAAAAAAAAAAAAAACCTGCTTGGGACTCAAGAGATAGTTGGTAAAGCACCTACATACACACCTAAGTTTGGATCCTCAGAACCCTCATTTATAGTACATCTAATCCCACCATCCGAGGGAGCGGAGAAAGCAGGATTCCTGAGCTTTCAGGCCACTCAACCTAGCTCCAGATTCAGGGAAAGACCCTGCCTCCGAAGATAAGGTACGCAATGATAGAGAAGCCCCCCACGTCTGTCCTCCCCATATTGCACCCACATGGCTGCACGTGGGCCTGTGCAGGCACATGTGTGTCCATGCCCACACCAGACACACACAGAACCCCTCCCTGCCCTCAGCACCATGAAGCAACAGTGAACGCTCTACCTCGTGTGCGTTTTCCCCAGGCAAGATTTTGTGAATGAGACCATTAGCCCCCTGAGGTGTCATGGAGAGATGTTTGCCCAGATCCATGGTCAACCTGCAGGCTAAGGAAAAACAAAACAAACAAACAAACAAACAAACAGGAAAACAGCTGTTTCCGAGGGCACGACACAGCTGGAAATAGGAGTGAGAAAAGCACAGGGGCCAGAGCAAGAATGCCTGCCCTGCTCAGAACTGTCTGCAGCTGGTATCCCAGGCAGGGGGGGAGCAAGGAGTAAGATTTCTTTAGGGACTACAAAGTCAAAAAGACTAAAATTTTTCTCCTCTTGCAACGATGCAGATGGTGACAGTAAAACTCCCCCTTAAGCTGGTGCTGTGGGTTGGGTGGGAATGAAGCGGGGTTTGCAGGTGAATATAACTTCTTGAGTGTATTCGTTATCAAAGCAGAACCCCGATGGGACTCTTCAGTGTGATTTCTCCCAGCAGCTCGCTACTGCCTCCCCCACCAAACATTTAGTGCGAATTCAAAATGAAGGTTTGTGCAGAGCCAGGCACGCAGCCCCGTGGATGTCTGTGGAATTGATTCGTGTCTGTTAAGAAAGGTAGTGAGGGCTGACTCCTTCCTGGAATGTACTCACATGCTAAGTGTCTTTCGGTGATTAATTGTTCTGTTCTCTAGGATTTAAAAACTTGCCTCTTGAGGACCAAATTACCCTCATCCAGTATTCTTGGATGTGTCTATCATCATTTGCCTTGAGTTGGAGATCGTACAAACATACGAACAGCCAATTTCTCTACTTTGCACCAGACCTAGTCTTTAATGAGTAAGTACCTATTAATTAGCTCTCATAAAACAAACTGCAGAATTATTCGTTATGCTGTTTTTTAAAAATTATCTCTATGCCAGATGTACAAGTGTGAAAGAATCTACTGAAACGAGCATTTTTTAAGGGTTATCGGAAATTGAATTTTGAAAACTTAAAAAAAAATCACTCTTTATAGTTCTGTGCCATACACATAGAGTCTGAGTGTCAATAATAAATCAGTATGTGGAACTCTTACATCATGTATGTGGGAATTGTCCCAAGAGAAAGCCATCCAGTTGGCTCTGAGGCTCACCTGGTACAAGGCCATGATTAATAGAAAGCAATCTCTTTGGTATCTGCTCCAGTTGGAAAGAGGCTCGTTTCTAGGAAATGTGAATATTTAAAGTGCCAGTTTTTGAAAGCGTCATAGAACGGTTCTTTTGTTAACTGTGCACAGCTGCTCGATGTGTTTTCACGACAATCATGATTACCCTTCCTTCCGATCATAAAAGAAGCCAAAACCTTCTTCTGCAGTGAAACATTTTTTTGTTTTGTTTTTGTTTTCTGATGCATTTTTAAAGGCCGAACAGATTTTAGCAGATTCTTTCCTTTGGCTATGAATGCCTTCCCATTTTAAGTTTACGTTTTATTGGTGTTTGCATTTCACATTAGCACATTTCTTGTGTGTTTACATTCGGCAATGCCTCTTTGTAATTGTTGGGTCAAAAAATATTTAAGGGAACACCGGAATTATGATAGCAACTACAGGCATCCTCCAACAGCGGGCTTTCTCTGGAGACGAGCATGTAGAGACTTCTAGAATGAGGGTATCAGATGACAGATGCGGGTGGTAGAGGAGAGAAACATCATCCCACAGTAATGCCTGTGGTCATCTGCTCATGTGGTCTGCCAGCACAACTATTTTGTTCCAGAGAGAGCGTAAGAACATCATGGGTTCTTGAGACAGCTCCACTGTGTCAAGAGATCAGAATAATCCTAGTGTGGCATAAAGTTTCACCAAAAGTAAAGCCAAAGAGCCGGCACGCACATTTTAAATTCACTTGTCTTTCCTCAGTCATCAGCTGATATTGCTAAATAGTAAGCATCCAGGTCTCTCAGTGCCACCGGAAGGTTTTGATTGGCTTTTGTGCATTTGATTTTGTTTGAACGGAAGATCAACATGATCTGCCTAATCTTCCTAAGAACGTATATCCCATTTTCATAAAATGTAAAATTTGCCACTGAAGAGAATACTCTGATGTTTGTGCTATTTTATAGCCATCACCAAACTCTACTGCCAGCACTTTTTTTTATGATCCCATGCTGATATTCCAAATACTCTGGGTGATTATTCTTCAATTACCGCAGTCTGAATTCCTAGGACTACGAGCTTTCCTGGCTTCTAGACACCTTATAGGCATGCAATCATGCATTGCTTGTCTTTTTGTGCCTGGCTTATTTTCATTAAATGTATTGTCCGTGCTTACCCACACGGAAGCGTGTCTTCAACTTCCATTCCTTTTTTATGGCTGAGCACTATTCTCTTATTGGTATGTAGCTGGTCCTCATCATTTATGTGTTCTCTCTCTGTGGATTTGCCTAATTTCAATCTCATCAAGACACACACAGTATCTTATCCGTCATCCATGGCGTAGGTAGAATGCAAAATAAATCTCACTAGAGAGTGCCTTTCTGTTTCAGCTTTGAGACTGTGCGCAAGCCTCCTTTACGATTTCTATTTTCTGCTACATTCTGTGCAGCTTTGTGCTTTCCTTGGTAATGTCCCTCTTTAAAATGGCTAGAGTGCAGTGCTAATGTGCAGCCTGATGCCGCTGAGCTCAGCAAGGCTGGCATGGTGCCGCGTGGAGAAGGAAAGCGTCACACAGTCATGAGCTCCATCGCTGCCATGGGCTCTGTGCTGATGGTCCAACAGTGTGCATTAAATAATGTATCGGAACAGAAATGCACACAGAACAAGAGTACCTAGAGAGTAGCTGAGAGAGAGCATGCCCAGAGGCACAGTGGCTCCTGACCTTCAGTTTCCCCTTGTGGAATTGGCACCCTGATCACTGACTCTAATGTGTCCATAATCATGCCAACACTTTTTTCTTTGAATATTCACCCTGCTAACTATGACCATTCATTAAAGTTAGGCTTTACGTTTCTCTGGTGACTGGTAGTGTTGGGCTTTCTTGACTAGCCACTGGTGTATTCTTTGGAGAAGTGTTAGGTCGAGGCCATTTCCCATTTTTTACATTGATTATTATGTTGCTCTTTGGTCATAATCCTTTATTTATTTTGGATGTTAACTCTATGTGATTTGTAATTATTTACTCCCATCTGTTAGGTTTTTTTTTTTCTTTCAATTTTTGAAAGTAGAAAGTGTTTTGTTTACTATTTGTTTGTTGATTTTGGGATTGGGCTTCTGTAGCCCAAGCTAGCCTTATACTCAGTGTGAGCCTAGGATGACCTTGAACTTTTGATGCTCCTACCTCTGCCTCCTGAGTGCTGGGTTGTAGACATGCCACGGATTTATGTAGCACTGGGCATTAGATTCAGGACTTCATGCACACTAGGCAAAGCTAGTACAGAGGAAACACATGCCCACATGCCCACACACCCAACCCTTTCTAGTATTTTATGATGCACAGATGTCCTTTATGAAGTATAATACACCTGTTTCTTTTTGTGGCCTTTGCTTTTGAGGTCAAGTATTAATCTTAAAATGTATGCAACATCGGAAGACGAAATGTCCAACAAAGAAACCAAGAAGACTCCTTTTGAACACAGAAAATGAAAGAAAAAACACCTTATTTTAAAAGGGTTAGCTAGTCCCTAATATTGGCTTCAGACTGACAGAATCTTTTGTTGTTGTTTTTTTTTTTTTTTTCTGTCTAGCATCTAGCATTGAGCCTGGGGCATAATAGCTGCTCTGTAAATATTTGCCAGATAGATTAATTATTGAACAAATTAACCCACCAGTCTAGTAATTGGCCTGGAGGGGGTTTCAGAATTCATATTTCTGGTTACAGGAATGAAAGTTATGGTATAGATGTGTGATATGAAGCTGTGGTGTGTCTGAACAAAACTTTGTAGGTGGTTGCTTGTGCTGGCCTTTGAAATGAGTCTGACGATGCCTAATGATCTTATTCTTCAGCTACATATTAGTAATATTAAGCTGGAGGAGAGGTGGGAAATGGGGAAAAATAAAGGAAACATTATTTCCAATTTTTTCATTAAATTCTGAGGTGAAAATATGAGTTAATACTTTAGCATGGAACTTTTCTTATTATAAATTCAAAACTTTTTAGATATGTATTAAATGATTAATTATTCAACTCTACCTTGAAACAATACACTACGTATTGCTGCAGATCACTGCAACTATTCCAGCTTCTTATCAGTCCAACACACATATTAAAGCTCCCTCTTAAGCTTATAATGAAAGATTTTCCTTTTTCTTTTTTTTCTTTCTTTTTTTTTCTCCCCCTAAAATTAAGATTATGTATTTCATCAATTCCTTTTAAGTCTTGGCCAGTATTTTAAAATCAAATATTGAAGGCATATACAATCTCTCTCTAGTGGTGATATTTGTCATCTGAGCCTAGTGTTATTGTGGTACCAAGACTGTTGGGGAGAGCGGGGGTCAGGTGGGATTTAGTGCCGCCTCTCCAGCCTCTTCATGGGATGCAGATTGATCTTCAAGGAAGACAGGCCAGCTCGGCTAAGGTACCAGGAGTGAAGCCAATCCATACCTTCCTTCTACTGTGCTGACTGTGACACTGTACGCCATTTGAACAGACAGCTCAACAATCAATCACTTCATGTCCTGTTTCCATGGCGCTGTGAACCCCTTTATGTTCCTGGGTCACTATGGTTGCTGGGTCACTATGTTGATGCTTTCCAGTTGTCCTCAGTGATGGCCCTCCCCAGTCATCCTCCCAAAAAACAGTGTCTGCGGGTGCCTTGCACCCAACACTCTGAACTTCAAGAGGCCTGGCTGAGAGAGTGTCCGTGTGTCAGGAGTGTTTCTGTGCACAGTCCTCTGGTGCCGGGGGTGGCTGGAGTCATGATATGACTCCCTCACCCCAAATCACTGAGGTCCCAAGCCACTGGAGTAGGTATTACATCCAGTGACAAAATGGCAGGTCCTGCAGGTGGGGTGAATCTGGGCCAGCTTCCTCGGTACTAGCTTCTTCTAAGTGCCTTCCTCTGTCTGCCCTTTCTCCTTTCTAATAAGGATTTTATGGTTTCCAGTATGTAACCTTCCTTCCTTCTTCTTCTTTTTATCCAAGCCTGTCTTACACTCACACACATGCACACACACACACACACACACACACACACAGAGGCATGCACACACACAGGCATGCACCGACTGCCTTTTCATTTAGATAAAAGAACTAACATTTACTGAACCCCTCTCTTCTCTTCTTCTTTCTTTAACTTCTGGGTAGGATGAAGAGCCTGCCTCTTCTCTTTTTAGTGTACCTGTGAAAATCTCAGCTCAACAGCAGCTAGAGAGCCAAGTAAGTAGTCTGGTTATTGAGATGGTGGGCCGTTGCCCAGTGTCTGCTATCCACTAGTCCTTTTCACACATACCTGGTTCTCAGAGATGGTTGAGTTTGAGACTCTCAGAGGAAATGTGGTATTTGTAGAAAGTGGTCAGCTGCTGCCCGCAGAGAACAAACATTGTCACTCAGAAATGGGATTCATCTTTGCCACAAAAGTAGACTAGAGTAGGATTATGCCTGAAGAGAGAGTTAGCAAAAAACTGCTCGGGGAACTTCTGCAAACAAGAAGCACTGTGCACATACGGGTCTTAGCTGCTTTCTCCCTGAAGCAACTCAAGGCTGAAAGGGTTTACTATGTAGTTCCTGACCAGCGGAGGACCAAGTGTGTAAATACGTGAGCCTATCCTACTGTGGGTGGTTCCCACGCAAGCCACAACAGCGCGTGTGAGGACACATGAAAGACAGGGGCGGTTCTCTGAGCAAAGCATTCCCTCCATCACCCTT